AAAGGAAAGGAAGCAAAAAAAGGAAAGGAAGCAAAAAAAGGAAAGGAAGCAAAAAAAAGGAAGGGACAGAAAACAACAAAAAGACAGTAGTAAACATCTGCAGCATCTGTTTTAACAGAACAGAAAAGCTGTCTTTCCTTCAACTGAAACATCTGTTTTAGAGCTTTAACTCTGAGCGCTGATTTGAAACAAATTCTAATTCAATGTTAATATAATCCCAATCTACAGATGGTAATCTGCAGCTGGAGAAATAATCCGCATCTGGATGAGTAATTGCATAGCTGGAGGAGTAATCTGCAGCTAGTGGTGTAATCCACAGCTGGAGGAGTAAAACGCAGCTGGAGGAGTAATCCACAGCTGGAGGAGTAATCTGAAGCAGTAATGCACAGTTGGAGGAGTAATCTGCAGCTGGAGGAGTAATCCGCAGCTAGAGGAGTAATCCACAGTTGGAGTAATCCACAGTTGGAGGAGTAATCCACAGCTGGAGGAGTAATCCACAGCTGGAGGAGTAATCCTCAAATGACACAGTAATCTGCAACTGGAGGAGAAATCTCCAGCTGGAAGAGTAATCCACATCTGGGGGAGTAATCCTCAAATGGAGGAGTAATCCTCAGATGGAGGAGTAATCTGCAGCTGGAGGAGTAATCCTGAACTGGAGGAGTAATCCTCAGATGGAGGAGTAATCTGAATGCTCATTCCTGTTTTCCCAGGTACAAGTGTTCAGAAGAAGTTCTGACCATCGCAGCCATGCTGTCGGTGAACAACTCCATTTTCTACCGGCCTAAAGACAAAGTGGTCCACGCCGACAACGCCAGGATGAACTTTGTGGTTCCGGGAGGGGACCACCTGGTTCTGCTCAACGTCTACACACAGGTAGAAACACCACAGGAGGCCCGGTTCTGCTGCATTTGTACCGGTCCTGGAACCGCAGGAAGTTTTTTATCGGCTGTTGGTCGTGTTTCTCCCTCAGTGGGTGGAGAGCGGCTTCTCCACGCAGTGGTGCTACGAGAACTTCATCCAGTTCCGCTCCATGAGGAGGGCCCGGGATGTCCGGGACCAGCTGGAGGGCCTGATGGACCGCATCGAGGTGGAGGTGCTCAGCTGTCAGGGAGACAACATCCCCATCCGCAAGGTCAGTGAAGGTCCAGAGCAAAGACGGAACGTGGTTAAATTCACAAACCTCCTCAAAATGACCCACAAGGCCGTGGGCTTAAAACTCAGACCTCGTTGGTCATTTTGACCCTAGGACAGCAGGAGGGTTAAAACTCCGAAGGTCCATCCATTCCCTTCGGATAATTAGTTCAGTTTCATCTGTTTCATCAGTCGTTCTCAGACCCCAGGACCAAGACCTGCAGGTGGTTTGAAATTCCAAGAGACATCATGAAGACCAAGGAGGTCACCCACTGGTCAAAGTTGTGGAGAAGAACAGATCCGGATTGTCCCTGGACCTCTCATAGCTCTATTAAATCATTACTAGATTACTTTAAAGCATTCCAGTGATTAATTATTAAGAGATTAATTAAAATCTGTCCTAACGTTCAGCAGATATTTTGCTGACAGGATCAACACTAAATGCCCTGATTTTCACCAGAGATGTTGCACAATGTGTGGTGCTTGTAGTATGTGTTGTGGAGGACCTTCACCTACTACCACACCAAACTTTAGCTCAATATCTGTAAAACTGACTGAGCTACAGCCTTTTTGGTTTGGCTGTGGCGGCCATGTTGAATGGGGTCGACTCCAAAGCTAACCGTTTGAAGACGCACATCTTAATACTAACTTTCTCAGTGGTTCATGCTGAGAACAGTGTCCTCACAGTGAAGCATGGTGGTGGCAGCATCATGCTGTGAGGTTTTCGTCAGCAGGGTCTGGGAAACCGACCAGAGGTGGAGGACAGAGGATGGAGCCAAATACAGAGAAAGTCACATATTTTAGAATAAAGGAGAAATCCCAGGAAGTGTGGAGGTCAGGACTGAAAACACAAAAACAGCCGAAGGTAAAAAAAGGTTAAGCTTTAACTCGGAGGTGTTTAAATCGGCCCCTTGTTTCTCTGAACGCGACGACGGCGCTCCGAGCAGCTCAAAGCTTTTCTGAGAAACGCTCAAACTCATCGGCTGTTATCGGCTCGAAGCCGTGAGATAAGAGGAGGGCGTCGGCTTTGTTTGCTTGACTTCAGACAGAAACGACACGGCTGAAACCTTGTTAGACTTTCTGAAAGACAGGGCTGAAACGTTCTGACCGCCAGGTGTTTGTTGGTTCGGGCGAACGTTTCAGAGAAAAGATCGTAAACGAGGCGACACCTTTTCCTCCGTCAATTTTAGTCCACAATTCCCACAAATCCTTCATTTTTCTGTGAAAGGCTTCAGCTGCATCTATTTTAAACTCGGAGGGTTAAATAAGTAACTTTTAGTCTTTCTAATTTTTATACTTTTGGAATTATTTAACTTTTACAACAAAATGTCTCCTTTTAAAACTTTAACAAGTTTTTCCTTCAAAAACTGAAGTCTTCAGCAGCTGCCGCCATTTCTCTCTCCTTAGGCTACTTTTAGCTTTCAGCTAATGGTTTGCTAATTTAGACATTAGTAATTTAGTTTGCTAATTTTAGCTTGAAGCTGTCATTTTGACTTGTTTTATGTTTAGTCACATTTAGCTTTTAGCTACTTTCTTTTGTATTTAGTTAATGTCTTACACATTTTAGCTTTAAGCTAGTTTTGTTCATTTTGACTTTTAGCTCTGATGTTGCTAATTATTGTTTGTTGCTGTGATTTAGCTAAATTAGTGTTATAGTTATGGTTTTGTTAATTTAAGCTCTTTAGCTACCGTTTTGCTTGTTTTAACTTTTAGCCACAGTTTTACTGAATTTAGTTCTGAGCTGCTGCTCTGCTTTTTTCACATTTTAGCTACAATTTAGCTGTTTTTAGTTTTCGCTACTGCTCTGCTGTTTTAATTTTTAGCTACAAGTTAGCTATTTTTAAGTTTTATCCTCTCTGCTGTTCACATTTTAGCTCCAGTTTAGCCGTTTTTAGCTGCTGTTCATCTTATTTGCTGTATTTCTTTTGTCTTTTGGAGTTTAGGCTGTTTTTGCAGTAAACTTAGTTTCTATAGTTGTTTTCTTTTAGTTTGAAACAGCCGAAGTTCATGCGCACTGAGGTCTCTTTAGCTCTCAGAACACGACCTGAAATCTTTCGGACCCGTCTCTCGTTTCCTGCCGCCGCACCAGAACTGTTCCTGCGGTTCTCAGAACCCCCCTCAGTAGAACCGGAGGCAGAACGTTCACCTTTGTTTCTTTCAGAACTCGGCGGTGTAACGTCACCGGAGCGTGATCGGGTTTCAAGGGATCACAAAGAACTCGGTTTAGATTTTTATTTTCTCTGTTCCAGCTGATAAATCTGTGAAAAAGGCCGAAGACTCGGTGTGACAGGAAGTAGCTGTTAGCCGAAGGTTGGTGAGACACTTTAGGACGAACTTCATGTCGAGCAGAGCTATGCAAAGTTTTCAGCTCCACGAACAAAAGGACGTTTGTCTGAAAATAACCGGGAACTGGACCGAACTGAGCAGAACTCTTCAGATCAGAACCACTTTAAAGATTACAGGAAGTCCGGATCAAATGAAAGACCACGAGGACCAGATATGAAACGATGTCTGATCGATGTTTGATCTGTTCTAATAAAATTAATTTCATTAAAGCCGTTAAAATGAAACCTGACAGGTTTAGCAGAAAGAATGGGAGTAACTTGTTTGAATCAAAAAACTTTATTGACACATTATCATAAAAACATAAAGTTGTGCCCGTTTAGTTCAGCTAAAAACAAAACTACGTGGAACAAATGCTGAGAGCTGAATGACCGCTGAATCAAAGCTGAAGCAGCTGAAGAAGCTGAAAACTGACCTTTTGAAGATAAACGAAGTAGGACACTAGCAAAAAGCTAAAAGTAGTTATTGCTAGCGTAAAGATGAAAGGAGCAAAACAAGAACTAGCAGCAGCAAAAGGTTAGCTCCAAGTTGAAAGAAAATTAACTAAAAGCTAAAGGTAATGAAACACTAGCTAAAAGTAATAAACGCTAGCTAAAAGCAGCAAAAGGTTGCATCAAAGCTAAAAGTAGCCAAATATTAGCATAAGGTAAAGAAACACTAGCAAAACGTAGCTAATTCCAGCTAAAAGCTAAAACACACAAGTTAAAAGTTGAAAGTGGTTATGCTAGCTAAAACCTAAAGGAAACAACACTAGCTAAAAGTAGATACAACACTAGCTAAAAGCTAAAGGTAAAAATTCCAGTTAAAAGTAGTTAAAGCCAGTTTAAAGATAAAACTAGTAAAACAAGTTAAAATCAGCAATTGTAAAAGCCAAAAATGCTCAAGTTAACAAAACATTAACTAAAAGCTAAAGGTAACAAAACTTTTGCTAAAAGTAGTTAGTGCTAGCTTTAAGCTAAAGGTAATATAACATCTAAAAGCAGCAAAAGATTAGCTAAAAGCAAACGTAACTAAATGTTATGTAAAACGTAATGGTATCAGAAGACTTTCTTATTGTATAAAAAGACTATCAAAAAGAAAATAAAAGCAAAAGGCTAGCTAAAAGTAGCATAAGAAGTCAAAAACAGCTGTTAGCTGAAGAAGAGAACTAATGTTTACAGAGTGAAAGAGATCTCCAAATTTTTCTGAGAGGATCATTTTTGTAAATAGTTTTTACCCCTTTAAGTACTCATCCTCTGAAGGAGCTGAAGGTTTTCATACACAAACAGCTAAAACAGCACAAAGTCTGTCAGTTGTAAACACGTACGGAAAAACAAACAGAAAGAAAAGAGTGACTGCTGACTCGGCGTTCACAGAATTATCCGTCGTCTCATTTATTCAGAGCTCGATCTTATTGTTTTGTTTTTAATTTAAAAAAAAGGTTTTTTTCAAAGTCACTGCATCTCCCCCCCACTGAGGCTTATTTGTTTGAGTTGTAATAAATACTTTAAATATTTGCCAAGATGTTGCAGCTTTGTGTCTAAAGGTGAACAGGGAGCTTTGTTTCTGAACCGGACGGACCGGTTCCAGTTATGTGGACAGGTGCTCCGGTTCTATTTCTGGGCTCTTGCATTCTTTCTAAATGTCTGTTCAGTGATGAAGCTGCCCCTCTCCTCATCTTCTTCGCAGGCGGTGACGGCGGGGTATTTCTACCACACGTCCCGGCTCAGCAAAGGCGGCTACAAGACGGTGAAGCACCAGCAGACGGTCTACGTCCACCCCAACAGCTCCCTGTTCGAGGAGCAGCCCCGCTGGCTCATCTACCACGAGCTGGTCTTCACCACCAAGGAATTCATGAGACAGGTGCTGAATGCGTCTCCGAGTCCCTCAAAGTGTCCAAAAGTTCAGTTTTCAGTTCTTCAGACGTTGAAATTAAAGGTTTGAAAAGTTTTCATCAGAAAGGAAACGAAGGCTGAAATCATGGAGGTAGTTGAAAATAAAAGGAGAGATAAATATGATGTAAATGCTGAATGACCTCTTGCTAAAAGGAGTAAAAGTCTAAAAGCAATAAAATGCTAACTGGATACAAAAAGTTAGCGAAAAGATAAAAGTAGTAAATTGTTAAGTAAAAACTACAACTTGCACAAGAGAACAAAAACAAAAAGAAAACATAACAGTAAAACTCTTTGAATCAGCAGTCACAAAATTCTGAGCCGCTGGTTGCCATGGTGAATCCCTCCGAGGAGCAGGAGGAGGAGGCGGGGCTATCGGCTTCTCGCTTTATTTAACAAAATCAACCAGAAATGTAAGATTAAACAAGTTGCTGCTGTGGAAAACTTAAAAGAACTATAAAAAATGAGTCTTTACTCATGAGAGACAGAAATGTCTGGTGGCCAGACGTGTTCGTTTTTATTTTCTTTCAGTGTTTTTAGGATTCACGAGCTAAAATCTGGTTTTAAGAGAACATTATATGCTCGGATTGAATGGTCTGAGAGTTTGGCTGTGAAGACTTTGACCTTTGGGTGGGATTTGAGAGAAAACCATCGGTCCTTTAGCAGCGAGAGACACGTGGGACAAAAGACGACAAAAACCCAGAAGTTTTGTTGAGTAAACTGAACGAGAAGGGTCAGCTTTGTAGGAGGAAGATAAGTTTGTTTGCAAAACATTCAGAAAGTTTGGACTCTAACTTGAACATTTTAGGATTAAATCTCCAAAAATCCTTTAGCTTGAACTGCAATTGTGTAAAAACCAGTTAAAGACTGGAAAACGTCAGTTCGGTCATCTAAAGTCCAACTTCCTGTGACCCGTTTAAACTCTGAACGATGGTTCTGCTGGGAAGTCTGAGCTGGGGATCCACACGGGACTGGGTTTTAACACTCGAAATAAACTAATGAAATGATTTTGATTCATTTGCACCCAGGATAGTCGAGCTTCAGTGTTATTTTTCAGACTTTATAAAAGAAGCCAATAAATAAATAAACACTCCACCAATCGACTAAACGCTCATTTGTCCCCAAAGAGACATCGGAGGTTTTGTCCCCGTCACAGCGCAACAAAGGAGAAACACTCCCCGTCCGTCTGAACGTTGTGAGCACGACAACTTTCCAGAGACCGACTTCCATGTTGCTGCGTCTAGGCAGGAAAGGTTCCTTTAGAAAACTGGTTTGTCAGGTCAAAATCCAATATGGCCACTGCCATATGTACAGTGGTCCTCACCTGTCATGGGGGTCACGTTCCAGAGACCCTCACGATAGGTGAAAATCTGCGAAGTAGCTGCATTATGTTTATTATTTATCTCTATTTAAGGCTTTATAAACTTCCCACTCTCTTAGTAACCTGTAATGAATTAAGTGGAGGACCAGAAATTTCAACCAGACACAGAGCGTGTTCAATAAGCTTTACTTTGAAAAGACTGGTGGGAATCAGCGCACGTCTGTGGAAACGCACTGGAAAGTTTCGCAAGACGAAACAGGAAAACCCACACGAACTTGGTCAGGATGAGGAGCATGAGATAATCGCTGGACATTTACGTACTTGCGCACGGCTTTCAATAATCTGGTGCTGGATGGAGAACGGGAGCGCTCAAATGCTAGTTTTTACATGACTTAAAAGTATAGTTTGCTTACCGTATTTTCCACCGTACACGACGCACCGTCCTGTAAGTCGCATCAGTCCAAATATGTCTAATAAAGTAAATCCATTAATTAGTCGCTTCGCCGTATACGTCGCATCTATTATGTGTCAATGTGGACAACCCGGAAATGTGGGCCGGTGTTGTGCCGTCGATTGGCTGCCAAATGGCGGGAGCGTGCCCGGGAGGATTTTAACAAGATTAACACTTAAAAACAATTATTTATTTGCTCGACTTTATAGTAAATGTGTGTCTCAGTTGAACTTTTCCTTAATAAATGCACTTCAATGGTCAAATCAGCTTCATTTCTCTGCGCCGCCGCGGAGAAATGAAGCTGATCTGACGGTTGCTCCAGGCGAGCTGGACGAAGGTGGCAGGCTATGGCAAGCCGATTGTGTCATTAATAGCCACTTTTACCTATTACATGACACAACAGCATGCCATAGTACTCGAGTTCTATCTAGTGGCTGAAAATGTTAGTGTTCAATATTTTCAGTCAGAATAAATGAAAACGGTCATATCTCGGTCAACAATTGGTTTATAAATATGAGAAAAATAAAAAAAATATGTCGCTTTGCCGTATAAGTCGCAGGGCATGCAAATTATGCAAAAAACTGCAGCTTATAGGGCAAAAAATACAGTAAATGATTGGGGTGACCAAAGATTAACCTCTGGGGGTCAAGGCCACCGTTCTATTTATGTTTCTAACTTTAATGACCTGCTGTTGTTGATTAATTTGTTGTGTTTTTAGTGTAGAAGCAGTAATTTAGTTAAATCTCCATCGGGTTCACGACGGCATTTATTAATCTCTCCGGTCTGCAGGTGATCGAGATCGACAGCGGCTGGCTGCTGGAAGTGGCCCCCCACTACTACAAGAGCAAAGAGCTGGAGGACAGCAGCAGCAAGAAGATGCCCCGCAAGCAGGGCAAAACGAAGGAGGAGCTGGGCTGAGGCGAACGGTGCACGAGCGCACGACACACGCAGCGTGAGATCAGGACGAGCTGTGGGAAACGGACGCCTGGGGGGGGGCTCTCAGGATCTCACGAGGTCGTTGTAACTTCTGGACAGAGGCTCAGGGGAAAATGGACCCGGATGGTTTGATCTTAAACCAGAACACGGCTCGGACTCAGACTGTTGAACCGTTACCGCTCAGAACTCTGTCCCAGCGAGTCTCCGGTGAAAACCCAAAGAACCGAGGCTCCGACCGTTTGTTCTGATTTATCTTCGGTAATAAATCTTCACCAACCAGCTGTTTACCGCAGCTCTGTTTTAAAGAGGTGGTTTGTTTTCTGCTTACAGCTGCAGCACGTTTTCTTTGACATCCCCCGTTTGGATCAGCTCAGTTTGCCCGTTCTGTTCGTGACGAGACGTTTCTGTTACGGCGGCGTACACAAACGCGTTTGTTCAGCGCAGGAGGATCCCTGATGTGAGTCTGTGTTTGTCAGGTGGGCCGGGCCGAGAGAAGCTTCAGCTGATGTTGCTCTGGGCGTCAGCTGAAGGTATGACAGGCATGAGGTGCAGGTACGAGGCGTGTTGACGCCGGTGGAATTTTCCTCGTGCAGCCGTCCGACACCGGGCTCTCCAGCACGTCAGGCAGGAGACGTTCTGACCCGTGAAGCCGAACTCGGAGGCTCTGCCTCCTGAAAGTCCTGAAAGTGACGTCCGTCCCTCACGAGTTGTTTCAATAAATGATTATTTGCATGGGGGGGGGGGGGGGGGGGGGGGGGACCGGAGGCTGCAGCTGGTTGGACCGGTCTGACCAGAGGAGGGAGGGTTCAGAGGAAGCAGCTGTGAAAAAGGAAAAGAGGAGCAATCAGAGCAAAGGAGGACGAGCAGGAGGTGCAGCTCAGCTCCCAGGAGCGCTGCTTTATTAGTAATGAAGTTAGGTGAGCCCACACTGATTCACAACCGGGCTGGATCGGTTCTGACGACCCGATCCGACCTTCGCCTTCCACTTCAGGTCAGTGTCTGCGTTCTGGACGGTTATTTTAAATTTCCGCTCGTTTTCTGTAAATCTGAAGAAAAGTTTAACAAGTTTAATCCCTGCAGAGATGAAAATCTGCAGCTGGAGGGAAAACGTGTTTAAAACTTTAAAATAAAGATTTCAGTCACAGCTGGAACAATACTTTTTATAAATGATCTGTTATCTGCCGTATCTGAGCAGGAAGAAGCTGCAGCAGCAGCTCCAACTTCATTCTTTATATTCTACTTTCTCTAAGTTCTTCCAAGTGTTAAAGACGCATTAAGCACTTAAGATGTTAAAATTAATACTGGCTCAAAACACAAAATATAAAAACAAATGGTGTGTAACGATCATCAGTCGTAGAAAAACGTTCATCTGTCGACCTCTACAGTGCAGGAAAACTTTATTTATAAGCAGCTGTTTAACAGATTTACAACGAATAAAAAAACAAATACTGAACATCCAAGTTAATTTAAAACACGAGTTGTAAAATGATCAAATATTATCAGCTCGTTTTTTATTTATTAGTTCATCTGTTTATATTGTTTAAATTTGTATTTTTTATGTATAGCTCAATTTTTTTGTATTCATGTTTGTTTTGAGGCGTTTCCCTCTAACCCGAGCGTGTTGACTTGAATAGTGCTGTAGAAATAAACTGCTCCATTAAGAAAACGATGCTTCATCAAAGGTTGTAGGTCGAGCTCTAGGTACGTTCAGGAAACCTTTCTCAGAGAGCCTGAGAGATCTGAACCTAAAAACAAATCTACTGTGGCCTAAGATCATAAATGTCCTTAAAAACCAACAAAATATTTAAAAAAAAAAATCTAAAACACAGAAAATGGACAAGAAGACAAAAATATGTGATGATGTGCTGCTCTATACTCAGAATTATTGACTTCAATTCATTTTATTTTTATAGCTGCAAGTCCCAACAGAAGTCGTCTCAGTGCACGGAACAAAAACATTAACATACATTTAAAAAAAAAAAAGCCAATTAATAAAAGTTTATTTAAGGAAGCAGCAGATTGTGTTGAATCTTCACTTGGTCACAGTCTCATCCTGAGCGAGCACAAAGGAGACGGTGGAAAGAAAAAACTCCCTTTGAACAGGAAGAAACCTGCAGCAGAACCAGGCTCAGGACGGGTCTGCTCTGACCGGCTGGTTTGAGAGGACAGGAAGTGGAAACAAACACAGAACGACTGGTCCAGATGTAGTTTATAGGAGGAAAGACAAAATGTTTGCACTGAATTTAACAATTGTTCAAAATCCTTCAGAGAGGTCCAAGTCGAGAGCTTCAGATCTTTTTGCAAAGTGTTTCAGGAAACTGGAGCAGAGTAGGAGAAGGTCCTTTTGTCTAGTTCAGTCCTCACTGAGGGGACACTGCAGGTAATAATGTCCTGAGAGCGCACGCTGTAGCTGCACTCACGCAGAGACATGTAGGAGGAGATGTATGAAGGCAGCAGACCAAGAAGTGATTTAAAGATGAAAATGTACCAGTGGGAGAGTCTGTGAAGTTAATGATGTCCAGTTAACCAGTGAATACTGGGTGCAGTGGTGGGTACGGCAGTTACAGCCAGTCATGAATCTTAGTGCACCCTGATAGACAGCATCCAACATCTGCAGGGTTCTTGTAGGAGCGTTCATGTAAATAATGTCACCGTGTCACTTAACAGGTCTCTCTTGTAAATGAGTCTGGGAGGCTCAATGGGAACTAACCTGTATAAATAAAGGTAGACCTACTATTAATAATAATAATAGTTAATAAAAGGGAGGAATGTAGCAGCTACAAGGCAAGACAGTTGTCTCTTATTAAATTATTAAAGCCGTGCTTAAGCGATCACTTTCAACATGAAAATTGAAGTGTCCCATTATAATGACTTTATTAGTATTCAATAATAAGTCACAAAAAACCAAAACGAGAATTCAGACAAAAACAGAATAAGCGCCTGGTGGACGATTTATAACGACAATCAAAAGAGACTTTTCAGATTTTCATTTTGGATGAGAAAGACTGAGGGACAACTGCTCAAAAGAATTGTAATAATAATTGGTTTAGCATTAATAATCCTGACTGAAAGAATTGTACTACTTTATACTCGGTTATACTTGTACTTAGTTATATTATACTCCGAGGTTATTTTTGCTTTAGGAAGGCCAGGGTGTAACGATAAAATACGTCTGTCAAGTTTTTAATTTTGTTTCTGAAACTTCAAATTAATAAGAATCACACCAAAGTTTTTTACTTTGATCTCAGGGGTTCAGTACCAGAGCTCTTAAAAGTTCTGACCCAACCCTCGGGGGGGGGGGGGGGGGGGGGGTCCAGGCTACCCTGACCTGCAGCATGAAGACTTGGTCTCCATGAATGACCCGAACTGACCCGAGGTTTTCTGTCTCCACAGCTGCTGACTGAAACCAGGAGTCAGGTTCTCGCCTGAGGCTACGTCTCTGAACGCCATCATGAGCAGTTACGAGGAGGGGAGCACGGGCGAAGGGAGCCAGGGAGCCAGACCGCCTCAGAATGTCAAACCCAAACCCAACCAGAGCAACCAGAACCGCAAAGAGGACCAGAACTGCAAGGAGGACTACAGGAGGAAGGAAAGGCCGCAGAAGGTGAGAAGGTCCAGGAGTTCTGACTCGGAGAGGATGGAGAGAGGCAGGAGGAGCGAACGGGACCGGCACCACAGGGAGAGGCGTCCTCGAGGCCGGAGCGAGGAGTCCCGGAGACGGGTCAGAAAGGAAGGGGATCGGCAGCATGGGAGGCCCGATGAAGACGACAAGGAGGACACGGAGTGCAACATATGCTTCTGCTCCTACGATAACGTCTTCAAGACACCCAAGCTGCTGGCGTGCGGCCACACCTTCTGCCTGGAGTGCCTCGCTCGCATCAACGTGACCTCCCAGGAGATCAAGACCCTGACCTGCCCCATGTGCCGCGAGCTGACCGAGCTGCCCCACGGCCGGGACCTGCCCCGCCTCGGCAACAACCAGGTCATCATCGACAAGCTGCCGGCGGAGATGCAGCGGGCGCTGTCCATCCGCTTCAAACGCAGCAAGGGGAAGCTGCTGCTGAAGCACCCGCCGCCCAAAGGCAAACCCACCAGCATCTCCGTCCCCACCAAGACCCAGGACCCCCCTTTGACCGCGGTTGGCGGCCTGAGCCTGGCAGAGCAGGGGGGCGCCGCGGCCTCCGTGCTGGACGTGGGGAGACCCCCGAACAGAATGCGGGGTCGCGTGCGGCGCTTGTTCCGCTCGGATCAGTGCTACTACGTTGTGGTGGCGTCCATCATCGCCATCACCGTGGCGCTCATGCTGGTGGGGATCCTGGCCTTCGTCATCATGCCCCGCGTGTCCACCCCGCACGTCCAACCCGTCGCCAACCAAACGGACAACCCGCATCTTTCAGGGGAAGAGACGTACCACCCGAATGATCCCTGAACGGATCAATTCAACCACCTGCGGTCACTTTTTAACGCGTCTGTTTCAGAAGGATGAAGCCGGTGACGCTGTCCGACTGACGACATGAAGAAAAACAAGAACCGCAGCATTTTATTCTAAAACAAAAAACCCAAACAAAACCAGCAGAGCGTGAAGCGGAACAGAGCCGCAGCTTGTTTTTATCCTCTGTGTTTCATGTGAAAACACAACCCCGAAAACAGGAAAAACAAACCGCTCCAGTCCGGATGTTCAAAAGCACCGAACTGAAAGATTTAGATCTAACCGGCCCGATGGGATCCACTCCAGAGCCTCTTCTGTCTCCAAGCTTCTTGCACATAAATTATGTAAATATTTGTAAGTTTAAGAAAATAAACATTAAATAAAACTTGTTTTTTTTATATAATAAACGGCTTTGAAAGCAAGTTTCTCTGTTTGTATCTTATCGGGAAAGTCCCGAGTCGTTTGGACTTCCTGATTCTCGTCTCTCAGGCATAAACGCCGCTCCTTCAGGCTCTGAAGATAAAATAGTCTCAAATTCACAAATAGTTTTTTCAAACGTACACATTACAAATTGCACATGTAGAAATATTCTGCGAATTGTCAAACACGAGCACAAATCACCTGCTGTGGCTGGATCAGCTTGCATGTGAATGTGGTTTTTGAGACTTTCTTACCGCCGGATTTAAAGGTAATGCTGCGTTCAAGGCTCGTGAAAAGCTGGGACAGCTGAGCTTCACCAGATTTTCTGAGTTATTGGGAAACGTTTCTAACTTGCAGCTAAATTTAGCTTTTGTGTTTTGTACGGTTAAAATGAGCAGATTATTCTTCATGTGCAACATTTGTCAGGAAAAATACATTGTTGGAAAAATATATATTCCTGGGAGCTCTTCAAAACAATTATCTAGTAATTTTTTTATGTTTTCAGTTGTAAAATGTACATTTTATTGTGAAAAAAACTACTGGAAAAAATATAATTCACTGTGTTTTTTATTTGAACCATAATGTGAAATAAACTACTCAAACTGGTGAGGGTACCCTTCCAATGTTGAAACAAAGACATTTTTTCCGGTAGTTTTACAAATCTTGTATGCGTGCATGTGTGATTACTTCTGAAACATCTCGTAGACCTCCACCTGAGGTCGGGCAGGATCCCTCTCGGAGGATCGGCGTCAACAAACGGCTGCGGGAATGTCAAGAGGCCAGAGCTCCGGCCCGGTCCGTTTACACACCAGCAGGAAAACATCACAGGGCATGTTTTGATCGGCTTACATGAATGTCACGGACCATTGCATGCTTTTATCATGTGTTGATTCAACATGTGAACTGACCCATCAGCGGTTCTGTTGGATTATCAACAAGAGCCTCCAGAATCGACCCAAACTGGTGTCAGAACATTAACAGGTTTTCAAGAATCTACTGTCAAAACACGGGACAGTGTGAAAAATAACATGTTCTGGACTCTGACTGGACCGCTGCAGCACCTTGGTTCTGTTCTTTCTGACCCATTCTGATGTACATCAGCTCCGTGTTTGGGATAATGGACCTGTTGGACCCAGTTTGGTCCAAATTTCAGCTGTTGGACAGATGGACTCACATGTGACTCCAGAACAGGAGCCCAAACCATCAGCCCTCCACTTCCATGCTGATAGCTGGAAGGAGCTGTTTGCTGCAGTGCATTCTGGGTAAAAAATCACTTCAGTTTATGTCTATAGCTCCAAGTCACAACAGAAGTCGTCTCAGGGCACTGAAGAGAAACATTCACATAAAGAAAAAAAGCCAACTAGTAAAAATGATGTAAGGAAGCGGCAGATTGTGTTGAGTCTTCACTTCGTCACAGTCTCCCATCCTGAACAAGCTAGTACAAAGGAGACAGTGGAAAGGAAAAACTCAGTTTTTAACAGGAAGAAACCTCCAGCAGAACCAGGTTCAGGACAAGCGGCCATCTGCTTCAACCGGCTGGGTTTGAGCGGACAGGAAGTAGAAACAGACAAACGCAGAATGGCAGGTCCAGGTGAACTTTCTATGGGAGGTAAGACAAAACAACATGTTAAGATATAAATAATTACAAATACAAACGGGTAGAGTAGAGCGAGTAAAGACGGCTACAGAGTGAGGAAATGGTCAATTTGTCCTCCAGCAAGCCTATAGCAGCATAACTAAAGGATAGCTCAGGAAACCCAAGCTGACCCTAATACAGGATTTATCAACAAAGAAAGACTTAAGCATAATCTTAAAACTGGACAATGTGTCGGACAGAAACTAGAAGTTGGTTCCACAAGAGAGGAGCCTGAAAACTGAAAGATCTGCCTCCTACTCTGCTTTTAGAAACTCTAGGAACAGCGAGTAAGCCTGCAGGCTGAGAGCAAAGTGCTCTGTAGGAAAAAAAAATGGAACATTAAGATCTGTAATATAACATGGAGCTAAGTTGTTGAGGGCTTTGTAGGTTAGAAGTAAAATTTTGAATTCTATTCTGAATTTGACAGGGAGCCATTGAGAGAAGCTAAAACTGGAGAAACATGATCTCTCCTACCAATTCTCATTAAAAGACATATCTAGATCAAAAATGACACCAAGGTTTTTAACATTAGAACTGGAGGCCAAATTAACGCCATCCAGAGAAAGTGAAAGACTGCAAAAATTATTCCCAAGATGCTCAGGTCCAAAAACTGCAACCTCAGTTTTGTCTGACTTTAAAATCAGAAAATTTAGGGTCATCCAGGTAAGACATGCTTGTAGTCTAAGTAACTGATTGGATTCATTGGGTTTGGGCAAATATAACTCAGTATCATCAGCATAACAATGAAAATTTATCCCATGCTGTTTATTAACATTACCCAATGGAAGCATATATAAAGTAAAGAGTCCAAGCGCTGAACCCTGAGGAACTCCATGAGTAACTGGTGTATGAAGATTAATTATTTACATTTACAAACTAAAATCTGTCTCTCTTGTAAATGAGTCCTCGTGGCTCAATGGGACTAACTTGTTTAAATAAAGGTCGAATGAAAATAAATATGTTTAAACCATTTTAGAGCTGTTCAGACACCTGTGCATTGTCAGGGGCCACGTCATCAGTGACTTTTACTAGTGCGGTTTCTGTGCCGATGAGCTCTAAACCCTGACTGAAACTCTTCAGATTAGTTCTGTTCAGATGTTCACACAACTGACCTCCAACTGTTTTCTCTAGAATTTTTTCGATGAATGTTTGATTAGATATACTGTAGGTCTATAAATGGCCAGAATTCCTGACTCAAGGTTATGTTTCTTAAGTAAAGGTTTAATTACAGCAACCTTAAAGCTCTGTGGTAAGTAACTATTCATTATAGACAAATTAAGCAAATCCAAAATGTGGACATCAATTAGGTGGAAGCACCACTTTAAATATCCTGGCTGGGATGGGATCTAGCAGACATGTTGATGGTTTGGATGAAGCTATTAATTTTGGCAATTCAGAGTTCAACAGAACAAAAACAGTCCAAACATAAATCAGGTTCTAGTGACATTTCTAAAGTTGCCTCATCTGACAGGGAAGCAGCGGCAATAGAATCAGAATTTATTGTCATTGCACAGAAGCACAACGAAATTACATTTCAGTACAGCCCATCCAAATAAACACAAATACAATAGTAGGAAGGCTGGTTTGAATTTTCTCTAACTGAAACAATTTTATTTATAAAGAATGTCATGAAGTCATCACTGCTTATAGCTGTAGGGATACATGGTTCAACAGAAATGTGTCTTTTCATTAGTCTAGTTATAGTACTGAACAGAAACCTGGGGTTATTCTTATTTAAAGATGAATAATGTAAATGTACAGTTCTAGCTTTATAGAGAGCTTTCTTATATGTTAGCAGGCTATCTCTCCAAGTTAAACACAACCATTCTATGTTAAATAAACTTGGGTTAATTTAAACTCAAGTTAATTTCAACTTGAGTTTATTATATTTAGTTTTATATCACTTCTTTTATTCACGTTTCATTTTATACGCTTTTATATGACTGTTTATTATTGTGTGTACCTCATCTGTTTTTTGCTTAAAACAGGTCTCTCTTGTAAATGAGTTCTCGTGACTCAATGAGACTATAAACCTGTATAAACAGAGGTCGAATGAATTTGAGCTCAGGCTAATTTAAACTCGGGTTTATTTAAAGTCGGGTTAAAATCGAGTTAAAATAAACTCGGTTTAAATTAAACTTGGGTTAATTTAAACTCGAAGTTCATTTAAACTTGGTTCGATTACACTCATGTCCTTTTAAACTCGGGTTTATTTCAAGTTGGGTTACACTCAAGTTAATTTAAACTCAAGTTAATTTAAACTTGGGTTAATTTAAACTTGGTTCAATTACACTCATGTACTTTTAAACTCGGGTTTATTTCAAGTTGAGTTACACTCAAGTTAATTTAAACTCAAGTTAATTTAAACTTTGGTTAATTTAAACTTGGTTCAATTACACTCATGTCCTTTTAAACTCGGGTTTATTTCAAGTTGAGTTACACTCAAGTTAATTTAAACTCGGGTTAATTCGTATGGCTGCGGCTGAGTGGTTAAAGCAGTTGTCCTCCACTGCAAGAGTTGGGGGTTCGATTCTACCAGCAGTCACATGCCGAAGTGCCCCTGGGCAAGACACTGAACATCTTTTATAGATCTAGTAGAGTGCTGTAGGAAAATGAGGCACAGATTGTTGTAAAGCGCTTTGAGTACCTGGATAAAATAGAAAGGTGCTATATAAGTACAGTCCACATACCATTTAATTTAAACTCGGGTTTCTTTGCGCTCCCCCTCCTTGCTCCTTAAAGACACGCCCACCCGAGCCCCCCACCACCCGGGCCCGGTCTGGTCCCCCTCCCCAGGCTTCGCTCAGTGTCTCCCCTGACCCGGACCCTTCCAGGCCTCAGAATGTGAGTGCGCGGACCGGTTCTGGTCGGCTGGAACTTGTTGGACCGTCATGGCCTCCGCTCCCTCCGCCTCGGCCCTGTCCGCGGTTCTCCGGTGCCGGGGGACGGTCTGGAGCAGGAACCCGCCGGCCAAGCGGCCTGCCCCGGTCAAGCTGCGCGGAGACTCGGCTGAGCGCGGCGGACCGAACCGGGGCTCCGGCTGGAAGCTTCCGAACCAGGGAGGCCTGTCCGTGTCGTGTCGGTGGGACTCTGGAGGGGAAGTGTGCGGGAAAAAAGCTTCATTTCCTGAGGTGAAACTTTGTGTTTCTGCTGCCCGCCCTGTCCGGACCGGACCGGCGCGTCAGCTGCGGGTTCTGATCCCCTCCCAGCCGGCTGCGGGTCAGAACTTCACCCAGATTCCACCCGGAGTCCTGAAACTCACCGTCACCTCCCGGTTCCGACCGGAAATCCCCGGTGTGGGGTTGAAACTAAAGGTCACCTGCTGCCCGCTGACCTGTCTGCGATCTGGACCCGTGATGTTCTGGTCCAGTTGCAGGAGGTCCGGAGACCCGCAGCGACACCTGCTGGAGCAGGTGAGCGCCACCACACCGGAAAACACCTGACTTAAGCCGTTCTGGACATTTTCATGTGGGTTTCTGTGAAAAAAAAGTTGTAAATATCTTACCTGCTGTAGATGAACCGCAGTTTGGGGAAGGTGAATGGCTCACAGTTGAAGTGGCTCATGGGTAATCCCATGCCATGATCTGTTGCTCTTCTTCTCAGTTAGGGATCACGCTCAGCTACCACCACACCAAACTCTAACGCAATATCTGCAGAATACACTGACTTATGGCTTTTTTTTTTGCCTTTGCTAAATTGATTAGCTGTGGCATCCATTTTTAATTGGGTTGACTCCAAAAGTTATTCAGTTGTAGGTGAACGTCCGTCAGTTATTCCCTGAAAGTTTCATTAAAATCCGTCCAGTGTTTCAAGAGATTTTTTGCTAACAGAAACACTCGGGCAAAAATATTATCACCTGCCTTTTGGCAACATAACAGATGTAACAGTCTGATTCTGACAGCTGAAATCACATGATTGGATCAGTCTTAGATTAAAGTAGGCGGGGTTATTCCAAACACGCCCATCAACAGCCACGCCCCTAACACAGCAGTCATTTTCACAATACATTTTGTTTTTTACATAAAATGTTATGGTTGTATACAAGTGCTAATAACAGCATTAGCAGCTAGCTGTAGCACTTCCTTATGCTGCCTGGAGTCAACTGTGACACAAACATCTTAATATTTCTGCTGAAAGAAACGTGTCAACAAGGCTAGTTGTTAGCGCGTCAATAAGAGCTAAAGTAAAACAGGTGAGTCATCGTTAACTCTCTACAGGAAGTGGCCCACGCTGCACAGGAAGTGCTACAGCCGCTGCTGCGAAGACTTGATCCAGCTTGTTTTTAGTAGCTGTTAGCTCGTCAGTCAGAAACTAAACCTCCTGTTCAGAGTCCTACCTACAACAGGTAAAATACGACCTGTGGAAACTTTACCTGGTGTGTACTTATTTCATGTTTTTTGTAATCTAACTACTCCTCTGTGATATTTTAGCTGTTCATCTCTCAAAATGTTCGGCTCATTCAGGAGGAAGGTGCTGCAGCTTTTGGTTTCTACAAATTAAATTGTGAACGCTTCAGTTCCTTCAGAAACTTCTGCTCTGAAATCTGCTTCAGCTACTGGCTTGTCTTTTTGTCTACTTGTAGCTATCCTTTGGCCTATTTTAGCTACCATTCTGCTTTTATTTTCTACTTATTCTTTGTCTAATTTTAGCTTTAAGCTTCAGTTTTGCTACTTTTAGCTTTAATCTAGCCTTTTGACACTTTTGTTTTTTGCATTTTTTACCTAATTATTTGCAACGTGTACTAATTAGGTATAGCTACACATCTAGTATTTTCATCCTTTAGCTAACTCAGCTAAAATGTAGCTACTTTTAGTTAGCATTTTACTGATTGAAACCTTTAGTCACTTAGTGTTTTTGGTAGTTTTAGCTTGTCTTTTTCTAATTTAGCTAGTTTTTTAAAACTCTCTTAGCTAACATTTTGGTATTTTAGCTAATGTTTTGCGACTTGTAGCATTTAGCTACCAACAGCTACTTTTAGCCATGAGCAGCATTTAGCTTTTAACTAGTGTTTTTCTACTTTTAGGTAGTTTTTTTTACACTTTTAGCTAACATTGTTCAACTTTTACCTAGGATTTGCTAGCTTTTGGCTGGTGTTCTGCTCATTTTCAGCTTAGGTTCGGCTCCTTCAGGAAACTTCAGCTGTTGTTTAGCGCTGGGCACTCACTCTGGGTTTAAATATCAGAAAAAACAGAACCACACTTTAAAATGTTTGAATTATCCCTTTAACTTGACTTCCTTCACAGGAAACCGTGTTTTGTTCTTCCTGTTTCAGGCAGAAGGACAAACCTCCGAGGACGGGGTCGGTTCTGGACCAGAGGTGACCCGAGACAGACCCGACTGAGAGTCCAAGGCCTGCGGTCCAAAAATAGAGCGGCCGCCGTGACCTGCCAAAGCTTGTTGACTTTCAGAGACAAGAACTGGACTTCAGCCGGGTCACGGAACCAAACGGCCCATTTGTTTTGGTTGTTTTTCACCTCCTTAAGGTCAAAAACTGCAAATATTCCTGTTAGAGAGACCGGGACGTAAAGTTCTGACAAATAAGAGTCAAATAAAACTTCAAATAAAGTGAAAAATGTGTTTTTATTCAAAATGTTTGGATTCTGTTTACAGCAGCAGCAACAAAAAACTGTCTTAAAAACTTCATTTATTTATTTTGAGGTTAACATAAGTAAATCAAACTGTCATTTTTATTTTTAATTTATTTAAAAAAAAATTTTTTGTTGTTCGGTCCAAACAGAAACTCCCAGAGCTCGCTTCTGTTTTCTTAAAGTGTTTTTATTAAACAAAGGGTCTATTTTTATGCCAATAAACGAAAGTGTTAAATCAATTCAGCTGCCTTTGTTCAGGTTTGCGTTCAGTCCGAAGTGGAAGAGATTTTTGTTTTTGTTCTCCAGCTGCTGCAGTTTCACGTTAAACAGTTTCTCTGTGGAGGTTTATTTATTTATTTATTTATTTATTTATTGCTGCAAAATCATTTTCACCCTGAACAGAACAAAAATCAACGAGCAGACTTTGAAAAAAACACATTATTGGATGTCCATCATCTTTTTAAGTTCTGCTGTAATCATGGCACAGCAATCCTTCAAGGAATGCATATCACCCGCCGCCTTCATGCCAGACTGAAGAGCTTGTTTTGTGCCATCGGTTGTGTTGAGGGTGACTCTCAGCTACTACCACACCAGCTCTGTAAAACTCAGTTATATTTGTTGGGTTTTTAAGCTCAGTTTGTTTATTAGCAAATATCTCGTGAAACAGATAATTAAATCTCATCGATCTGATTTATCTTTTGATGGCTCCTCAGTCAAGATGGATGCCGCAGTAAATATAACAGAAAGGGCTTCAATTTGTTCAGGTGTAGTTAAAATTTGAGCTGGTAGTAGTTGAGAGTCAATCTGATCTCAGTTTAAAGCGTGTTCTGAACGGCGGCGGGTGACAGGCATTCTTTAGAGGACCGCCGGACCTTTAACTCAAAGCGTCTGCTCCGTTTTTTAAACTTTCAGTGGCTTTAAATTACTTTAAACGGAGCTTTTCAACAACGCGTCAAACTGTTGCGTAACTCCGGAGAGTGACGTTGAGGGGGCGGGACTTCCGGCTCCGCCTTCAGACGAGGAAGCTGTCGTGTTACTTTCCCCTCTGCTCCTGGTCCCAGTTCAGACTAAAACCGGAAAAACTCCGAGGAGATAAGTTGTTCTGACATCCCGGAAACCAGCGGGAAACCCGTCGGAGTCCGGTTCGGTTCCGTGTCCAGCCGAACTAACTGTTGCCGGTCGGAGACATGAGGAGGAAGTGGTTCCTCCGTCAGGGTGAGGACTCGTTTTCACACTTTTCCTGCTGTTAAGCGCTCTCCTTCAGGGCTCAGAGACCCGCTCAGACCCGGTTCGGGCTCTGCGATCCGGCAGCCACAGGTGATTTAAAGAAACAAACCCGACCAGAACCAGCTGGGCGGGAGTCTTTCTGAAAACATCTGTTAGTTTTTCTGCTTCCTGCAGCTCGTGCGTTGTTTTTTATTTGTTTGTTGTTTTTGTGTTTCAGGTTCTTCACGCTGAGGTTCTGCCAGAATCTGAAGATGAGCCCACCTTCACCCCCACAGACCCGGACCCGTCTTATCAAGTTCACCGGCTGCACCCGGAGCAACATCTGATTCTGTGTTTGTGATGAAACTGGACCCGGCAGCCCCTCCCAGAACCTGATCCACTCCTGAAACAAACCTGTTTGTTGGACCCTGCTCCGACCCGCCTCTTCCTCTGGGCCATGTTTCGAAAGAGAGTCTCCCTCATTTGCTGCGGCGCCTTCTTTCTCGTCACCTGGAATGCCATCCTGGTTCTGTTGCTTCTGGGCCGAGGCCCGTCGGGTCAGCCGAGCGAGGTGCAGGTGGACGTGGCTGAAATGCCCACGGTTGACTTGGTGGGCGACGTGATCCGGATCGCCGACGCCTTCGAGTCGGAGCTGAAAAAGCAGAAGGACATCCTGAACCAGATCCTGAGGCACCGGCCGCTGTGGGAGCCGGTGAACAGAACCAGGCCGAAGGTGGTCACCCCGAGGCGGCCCGTCATCCCCATCCTGGTGATTGCCTGTAACCGGGTCACCGTGAGGCGCTGCGTGGACAAACTGCTGCAGCTGCGGCCCACCGCCGACCTCCACCCCATCATCGTGAGCCAGGACTGTGGGCACGACGAGACCGCCGAGGTGATCCGCTCCTACGGGGACAAGGTGACGCACCTGAGACAGCCGGACCTGTCGGACGTCCCGGTCCAGTTCGAGCACAAGAAGTTTCAGGGGTACTACAAGATCTCCAGACACTACCACTGGGCCCTGAACCAGGTTTTCAGAAACCTGTCCTACTCCTCTGTGGTGGTCGTGGAGGACGACCTGGAGGTAACTGGCCTTCAGATTCACAACAACAACAATAACGTTTATTTATTTATTTATCCTAAATGAAAGAGACTCTGTAAATTATAACAAACATAAAACTGTTATCCTCAACTCTGTCAAACGGTGTAGTTGGAGGTAGTTTGGTAGTTTTGCAGATATTCTGAAATGCAGGTACTCACTGGACGTAAACAAACGCTCTGAATCTAAACCATGTGGAAACCTTCATTAGGCTGGTCGGAGCAGGTGTAGGTAAACAAATACTGCCGTGTACGCAGGTAGACAATCACGTGGCGGTTGGTCACTTGTTTTACTTTTTGTTTTAGAAACAAACTGTGGATTAATTTAAGTCCCCCGCTCCTGAGGGTCATTAGACCTGTTTAGAGTAGGCAGCCATCTTTAAACGGAGCAGCAGCGTTAAGCCTGGTACTGTTGTTTTCAGGTGAACAGAACACCTGTCTGTGAGCCGGGCTGAGCAAGAGCCTGATGACCTTCAGGAGGAAGGGGAGTCACATTAATCTGCGCATCAATTCATCTGCATAATCAGAGCAGTTTAAAGTTTTAAAGTCCACATTTTCTAAAAAAAAAAAAAAAAGAAATGAAGTCCAGGTGCTGATTTTAAACTTTTAGGACAGAGCTATTCAAC